CACGGGAACATTAAAAAATAAAATAATAGTATTGGAAATTCAACGTTTTGTTGTAATTGTTATTGTAAATTGAATAATTATTTAAAGCTCATGGCAAACAAATAGTATTTATATGCATAGGTTTGTATGCGTAAATACTCTATAACCGCGGTTTCTGAAATCATTGCGGCAGACGACAGGAACGTGGGTGTTGCCACGTAATTCATTGTGTTAACGCCACATAAAACATTTATTGCTCACTGTGTTCATCTGGCTTTGTTTTGTTTTTTACACAATAATAGTGAATGGAGAGCAGTTCAGGTCAAAAATTTAGAAGTGTTAGAAAGCATGCTAGAAAATTTTCTATGATGGCAAGATTGGGCCCATTGAGATCACTGGTATCTAACTTGTCCAACAGCTCAATAGAATTGGTAAAATATCTAATTTTTTTTTTTTTAATCATAATTAAGTTCGAACATTGAGAGTCGTAAAATACGACCCGTCTCATCCAGCTGAGGTCTGGCCATTTGCAAAAGTAATGTTCTAGCATCTCAGCATTCATCGCGCATGCCCTGCATTCCGTCGAGTCTACTTTTACAATGTTGTGAAGGTGGGATCATGCCCTTTTCTCTGCCCCGTGATGATCAGTACAATATTACTAAATTCCCTACTGAATTGAAGTAGGGGCTTTGTTAACACTTTTTGAGATATGTATGCCCTGTCTTTCTGAAAGAACTGAGTCTGGAACTGCTTAAAGGAGTTTTTTCTCCAGCTCCCCGATTAGTCCAGCTCGTCTGCCTTTTTATTTCCTGCTATTTCTATATAACCTGGTACCAAGGTGATGTTAACCGAATTACCTATTACCACGTTAAAAACGCCTCCAATGAGAAATAATAAACAGCCTCGAATGAGAGACGCCTCTTTTTGCTGATTAGCTTGCAAGAAAAGGCACTATACAACCGCTATCGGTAGAATGGTATATAGTCGGTGCTCCCTTATCCTCTTGTGTGCTACTACTAGAAAGCTGAGACACCGTCGGTAGGCTAGCCTTTCCCTAGTTGTGGAGCTTTTAACAGGCCATTGCCCTATTGCCGTCCATGCGTTAAAGCTGTGAGTTCTACCAGACCCCATCAACAGAAGCTGTATGAAAGAAGATTAGGGGAAACAAAACAACACTTTCTTTTTGACTGTTCCGCGTGTGGGAGGTCAAGACTTGAATACTTGGGAGCGTATACCTTCAGACTTCCCATCGAAATTTGTATTGGGTGCTAAACATTTTGCTCAGTTATAACTTCGAACACGGGAGTTCTTCTTTCTATGGCTATACAAAAGACTACATGGTCCACGTGTGATTTTTGATCAGCTATTTAACCTAACCTAACCCTTAAAAATTCAAATATACCCCGTCCGCTTCTCCGTCTCAAACTCAGATCGCCAGTTGATTATCTTTTCTATCAGTTTTGTTCATCTAACTTTTGTGAACACAATGATGGTTTTTTTTTTTTTGCTTTCAAATATTATCAACTTTTATCTATGCTACCAATGTGAAAAGAGCAAAATAAATATCGAAAAAAGAAACAAAAACTAAAATATCATGAAATTATGTGTTTGCCACATTAATATGTGTAACTACAAATTATTCCTATCTAATATTTGCTCATTGATAAGCTTACCTCGGGCCGATGCGAGCGCAAACATTATATTACAACAACCATATGATTGCACTAACTTTCCATTTTATTTACAAAAGCTGGTATAAAAATAGTAACGGGCACTTAAGTAAATATAGAAAATGTAATTATGTGTTACTATTGTTGTTGTAATACAACAAATGGCTTTATTAATTATTGTGCATTGATTAGGCTTTTAAGCTTAACTAATTTATCAGTTAATAACAGAGAATGTAAACAGCGGCGTGCCACCACAACCATACACAAATACGTACACATATATATATAGATACATATACATACATGTGTTTATAGCTACATATGAACTAACCGCCATTAATGCTTGACTCTTAAAATACACAAATAACCGTAAAGAATTTCTTCTCGCGCTTTTCGTTAAGATTACGCGGAATACAATGGCAAAAATGAACACGTGTATTTGACAGTTTAATTGACATACGGGTAAGCTGTGGCAGTGTGGTGGCGTTGCTGGTGCTACTGGTGAGCTGGGCTGAGGTGTGCGGGGAGTTCTTGGTGATTCCCGCCAGCAGCGCCGGGAAGCCGCTCAATTATCTGAGCGTTGTGCTTGTCATGTAGCATTTTAAGCAAAAAAGCGCATGAAATTAATTTGCTACATAGAATACTGATAGACGCTGCGAAGGAGTAGCAAAATAACGCAGGTGTACAGTTTATTATATGCGGCAATATATTAAATTAGAAACAAGTGGTTGTACATATTAAACGTGGCCTCAAGTGCTGAGCACATTGAGCGCGATACGACATGGCAACACGACAGTGAACTGAAAATGGCGTCGTGAATCCTTCTCCATGAACATTTGTGAGAAGGCAGCACAGGACAACACACTGTCACATTGTACACAATTTCTGTTTGGCCATACTAATACCTTGCACTTCAATGAAATTTTAATATTTTTTTCAAAGTGAAATTTTTAATGCAAAAAATACGAAAAATAGGTCAATTTATTTGTTTTAAGTTATCAATTTTTATTACAAATGATATAATACAGCTATTTTATGCTTTTATTTGTAAAATAACGTCAGGTTTGTTAGAGCTTTGAATAATTTTACATTTTACATATTAGTGGCATCACCACTCTACCTCATCTCTCTACTGTCAACTCTACTGTCGTCCTACTGTCGTAAAAAATAAAAAAATATTAAAGTTAGCGAGAGCGACAACTGTCGGCCTGCAGACGTGTAGTCGTGCAGCTGTCAAAATAACTGTGTCCATAAGAACGTGTGTATTTTAATATCTGACAGATGTCGCTTGCAGTCTTAAAAAAATTAAAAAATAATGAAAATTAAAAAAAAAAATGAAATTTTTTTTCATTCTCATTAACACCAAATTGGTTTGACTATTAATATACCCTCGATAGGTTTATAGCATATATGCATAAAAAGCTTTTTTGCTTGATTTTGATCGATCGGTTTGTATGACAGCTATATGTTATATTGATCTGATGTGGACAATTTCTTCAAAAATTATAACATGATCTTGGCTTATAATATTCCCCGAATTTCGTGCAGATACATACATTATCAAATAAGCAAATTTTCCATACAAAGCCTTCAATTCCATCGGTCAGTTTGTATGACAGTTGTCGGATCTAAACAATTTCTTCAGAGATAGTGCCAAATAATGAATTGTACCAAATTTCGTAAAGACATCTCTCTAAATCATAAACTTTTGAATTCAAGCACTTTCTTCCTATCGTTCAGGTTGTATGGCAGCTATATGCTGTAGTGATCGGTTAGCAGTGGTTACGACAAATGAGTTGCTTCTTGAGAAGAAAAGTACGTGTGCACTGTTCTTAAATACTAAGAGACTAGTTCACGTATATAAAGAGAGATGAACACGACTAAACCGACTCAGCTCTTTACAGTGTTTATATTGTTTATGGTATATACCCCAAAATATACCCATCACTTTTCGTAAGTTTACGGATGAAAAAAACGACCTAATAGCAACCACTCACATTGAAAAAAATTAGTTTTGGTTGTATATCGGTTATATGTATATAAAAAAAATCATACACTCATATTAAACAAAATTTGAGGTTTGGTTATAAAACGGTTATATTGGTTATTATATCTGACACTGATTTTCGATTTTTTTTTTTTTTTGTTTGATTATACGCTGTTTTACATTTTAGGTGAAGATGTATAGTATATTTTTTACAGAGCCTCCAACGATTTCTTCTGGGTGTTGTAACATTCTTGTCAAACTTAATATAACCCTTACAGGGAATGAAAATAATTATTATATAAGGTTAGTGAAGACTTTGTATCCTAAACCGTTGATAAGCCAAGATGCTGGTAGTTCAAATAATAAGTGAGCGCATAATGCACGTTTGACGACGGAATTTCAAAGCATGAGCTATAAAATTATTCCAAGCTATGATTTCTGTGAAATGTAAGCATTACACAAGCAATACATCAACCAACAGTTCCAAAGAAATCGATAGTTTGTAGTTGAGTTTCATCAAAATGCACAAATCGAACTAATTTGAAACGAAATTCGCGGCTGTTGTGGCAATAAGCTCACTCATATTAGAAAGAGATACTGTTGGGCGGTTAAAAAGGGCAAAATTTCGGTCATATACATATCTTGCAAAGTGGAAAAATTTTGGAAATTAAGGTAGGAGCTTCGAACTATAACAAAATATGAATAACGGAACTTTAGGAGGAGCTTCAAAGTAAGTGCGAATTGATGAAAATTTGAGAGCTAAAGTTAAAGTTATGCTAAGTTAAGTTAGCTCATAGTTGAAGTTTTTGCACTTAAAAAATTGCAGTCTTAACTTCACGCAGTAATCTTTCAATTTGGCTAGTAATACAAAAATCCCACAAAAGTAGCAACGTTCCACCACGTATTTTGTATCATTGTTAACAGAAAGCAAATTGAAGTTTTTTACTGTTATTTTGTTTTTCCGCACTGCTACAGCCAACAACACAAGCATACAAATAAAAGGCCAACAGTACCGCGTTTGACCTGCCAATGCCTCTATTTGACCAAAACCTACACGGACGAGCATTTTTCTTTGTGTGTTTTGTGTATTATAGCAAAATCTCGCAGAACAAACAAACAGAAAGCGGAAAAATTTCACGCAGCTTATTGGCAGTGAAGCATTGGAATTACCAACAAAAAAAAAAACAACAACAATAAAAATAAATAGTATACATTGACACTATAAACATTTTTGCTCGCCAATTCAAAGGCGCATATGCACACACCCACATACACATTTATATAATATAACGGTTATGATACTTACGCGATATTGTTGTTATTGTTGCAGTGCACGTGCTTGTTTTGGCGATGTTTTTTTTTTGTTTTTTTTTGCTTAGAACACACTGTTTGTTGCTACAACTTTGCTCTGGCAATTTTTGATTAACACTATTGTTGTAAGCAACAATTGCTATACCGTATTATTTTATTTTTTCCCGCTTGTGAAATTTTCGGATAGTATTGTGCTGCTATTTTACGCTTTTGTTGCGCACAACCGTCAACCGACCACAATGTTATATACTAACTGCAACGTATACACTTTGGCGAGCTGTTTTAGACCGTTATCCATAACTGCAATGAGAAAAAAGAGGAGCATTATTTAAAGGTTGTTGTCCTTAATATATACATTTTTGTCCTGTAAATAGGTTTACAAATTAAAAATTGTAGTCTGATTTTATTTTTTAAATCCCGAAAATCGTATTTAAAACTGATTTTCGAAATAAAAATTTAAGATACCAGTTGGCATAATTAAAAAAAACTGAAAATTGTATTAAAAAATAATAAAACGGTTTGCGAAAATTTTCGAAACCCAAATCTAAGTAAGCGTTTGGAAAATTTTAAAAAAATAATCCAGAAAATCGTATTAAAAATTAAAAATTTAAATTTAAATCCTCAATACTGAAGTAAAAAAATTCACTATCTTGCAATCTCGGAAATCGAATTTAAAAATAATTTTCGACATTGGAATCCAAAACCTAAAAAAGTGTAATATAAAAATTCATATTAAGCAAGAGCAAAAAAACTGTTATTTTTTATTTTTGAAATTCGAAAATCTAATGAAAAAAATAATTTTCGAAGTTCTAATTAAAAGTAGCGGTTGAAAAATTAAAAAAATTTTAAAAATTACAAACAATAAATTTTTTATTTTGCAATAAGAATAATTGAATTTAAAAATGGTACCAAAAAATTATTAAAATTTAGTTCAAAAAATCGTTTTAAAAACTAATATTTTTTTTTAAATATTAGAGTAAAAATTTATTTTTTAATTCCTAAAATATTTTTTAAAAGTAATTTTCACAATTCTAATCCAAAACACCGCATGGAAGAACTAAAAAAGTGTAATCCAAAAATCCCAAAAACCCAAAAACTCATAGCATAAATTAAAAACTGGAGTGAAAAAAATAATCTGCGATCTAGTAATCTACGATACAGAATCCCAAAAATTAACAAGTGTTTGAATGGAAGAAATTGCTTAAATATCATATGAAATGTTTTAAAACATTAGAACGATTTTCTTTGAAAAAAGGAAGTTTTTACTTTGAACAATTTTAATATTATTTGCTACACCGATTTCCCACTAAAAAAAATTTAAATTCCAATTTTGCTATAAAAAAATTCAATTTCCAATTTTTAGCTTCGATTTTGACACTGCAAATTGAAATTTTATTACATATTTACAAATACACATATACATAGATTGGTTCATGCCTGAGCCAATGCTGATAAATGTTGCATCATATTAAGTTGTGATAATGCTGAAAAGTACTAATATCTGCGACAGCAGTAATAAAAAGGTCAATGCAAATTGAATAACAAAATAGCGAAAGCAAAAAAAAAAAAAAAACAATTATGTTGAACAATAGTGTCAGACATTAGATTTTTGTAGTCTCACAACTTTCGCAGATTTTTATGAAGTCCAAACGGACTTGTGGCATTCTCAATTGATTGCTAACAATGGAACAATTAGCTAATTACACAATTAAAATGTAATTAGCAACAAATTGTTGCATAATTCCCTATGCAACTCTATATAAATGTTCAGTTCAAGATGGCAATAAAGTACCGACAGAAATCATGAAATAATTTTTATAAAAACAATTTTTATATAATAGAGAAAATTCAACGAAAAAAAAAAATGGTGATCCAATAAACGCTGATTCCTTTAATTATTTTAAATTAAAAAATAATGTGTTTTTGGGTCATAAAGGAATAGTTTATACCAAATTTCTTGAGAAATTTTTTTTGGTACTAAGTAGATCAAAATAAGAAACCCAAAAAATTGTATATTTGAATTTTTCATACAAATTTTGAAGTTATGTGAAAAAGCGTTTACGTCAAAGTTATAGATCTTTTCATTTCCTAAAACTTTGCCATATAACTTTTTTCTATAGGCTCTACTCGATTGCTCTTCCTGCCCTCAATTCGCGTTAAAAATATTTTTCTTTTTATTTTTGTTAATATTATCTGCCTATATCAATGAATTCTAACTTACTATGATTTTTTTCGCTTTTCCCATTTGCCAACACACGCTGCGTTATCGTTACCTAACAACTGTCGAAATCACAGATACGCCGTTCTTCCTCCTGCCATGTCCTGCCGTGTGCAGAACTTAGTGGTTGGTTGCAAGCGCTTATTTACGCGTTTTATTCCAAAGGTAATCCCATTGCATGTATTCGTCTGTTTGACTTTATTCGTTAGCGTTTTTAAATGCTTGTGCGTGTGTGTGAGAGACGATTTCATAGAAATACCGCTTAAAATTCGTGCATTGCCAAAGTGATGGCATCGATCGAAAATTCACATCAGAGCTGGCTAATCCGCTTGCATTGGCAAGCACCGCACTTTAGTGGTGCACCATGGCGTATGAGTGATGCTGCCAAATTTTTTCTGCAATTGTGCAACACTATTTATTTGACGAACAGTTTAACTACGAAATGTTGCAAGTGTATTTCTACAGGCCTTTTATGCAATTTCGTAGTTTTGTATGTATGTAGGTATTACCAGTATCAATCAGGTATTAGTTGCTGTTTTTGCTTTAGCGATTGCGTTATCCAACTAATATCACGAAAAATAATGGCGGTCTGGCATATGAGAAGATAAGTTCAAACCAAATTTCGTGTAATAAAACACATTTTTGTACAAGCTAAAAAAAAAAAAAACTTGGTTATTTGAATCTTCCATCTGAAATTTGACATTATGTGAAAACATTTCATATTCAAATGTTGTAGATCTTTTAATAATCTAATACATAGCCATATTATTTTTTTCTACAGGACTCGTAGTTTTAAAGAAAATCAAGATGAACCGTTTTAAAACCTTAAAAATTCAACTACGCTCCGCTGACTGATAGATTTAGTTATAAATGGAAGAGCTGAATTCGCGCTGAATCCCTTTAAAATGGTAAAAATGTAATTAAGCTGCTGACTCTGTGTTGGCTACCATTTACTAACTGCTGAATGTGATTTTCAGTATTTTTGCAACTGGTTTATTGAATGTAAAACATTTATTAGATGCTTGTGAGTTGCAAGAGTATGAAATGTTCGGTTGTACCCGCACTTAGCCCTCTTTTACATGTTTAATATTAAGGTTTTTTTACATCTGAAGTACTTTTTCCGGCTTACTTATTCAGTGATAAACGGAATTGCTGAATATGCGCTGAATTACTTTTTTCAATACTTTGTGAAGTAGTAGGAACGCAAAGAAGCTGCTGAATCTGTGCTGAATACCATTTATTAATTTTCATTAAATTCGCATCTACTTTATTGAATCTAAAACATTTATTAGACGCTTGTGAGTTGCACGACTATGCATTTTTCGGTTATACACAAGCCTTTCTTATTTATTTAATCTAAAACTTTGCCATAGCTGAGGGCATTTCCCTGGCTTGGCTTACAGATTGATTCAGTGATAAACAGAAGCGCTGAATTTATGCTAAGTTACTTTTTCCTATACTTTGTGAAGCAGTAAGAATATAAAGAAAGCGCTGAATAACACTTAATACTACTGAATTTACTATTCAGCAAACTCGAAACTAGTTTGTTGCATCAAAACATTTATTATATTCTTGTGTGTATAAAATGTTCGGTTATACCCTTTACATGTTCAATATTAAGTTTTAAAACATCTGATGTTAATTCCCCGGCTTAAATGATAAACAAAGCGCTGAATTAGCGCTGAATTACTTTTCCTATACTCTGTGAAGCATCAAGAATATAAAGAAGCTGCTGAAAGGGTGTTGAATAACACTTATTAACTGCTGAATTTGATTTTCAACAATTATTAACCTAATAAGTTCATTTTTTTTCTTCGCATATCCGTAAGTTATTGTCGTTTATTAAACCATAGCTTATATATATTCTACAATACTTAATATACACTATTAACTGTGTGAAATATATGGCTACTTAAAGCGCGCCCCAAAGTTCAATTATTTGACTTCGGGGCTTGTCTACTCAATCGAGTGTGTTTAATTGAGGTAAATAATATCATTGGCTATAACTAAACGATGCCATAAGGCGCACCAAATCGTCTCGCTGGCAAAGCAAACAACACAGAGTCAATACTAAATAAAATACACACAGCCACACATCCACATGTCAAATTACAGCACACACACACAGCTACATAACTTTAACAAGCGTTTGTTTGAGGGCGAGCAACAGTAGCCACGTCAGTTAGTCAAGAGTATGCACTTTTAGTATTGCCTGTCACTGAAACGCCCTCAGAAAACGCTGAAAAACACTTAACGCGTGCTGTGGGCGTGTTTTGTGTGCGTATTTGCGTAGCCAAAGGATAACTGCTAACGCGCAAGTAAATGTTTATTCGCACTAATAGTCGCAAACAGGCCAGCAATCACGCTTTAACCTTTCATTTCTCAACAGCAGCCCACATACATACTGGCTGCTTGGATCATTAAAGGACAATATCGGAGAGACAAGCAACAGGCGGCGGACGAGCAAATAACGCGTTGCGGAGCTACACAAATAAGCCACACGACATTTTCCTCTTAATCGTCGTGTATTTGCCGCTTGTTTGCTTGGCGTGCTGGCAGCGGCTGCTTACTGTAGGCCATAAATTACACATTCCGCTTTACAACGCTCGACCGCACAGCATTTTCCGCCGACTGCCCGCCGTAGTGGGTATTTACACAGCAATTTCCTTGCAAAAAGTTTACATTCCACACAGTTTTGCCGCAACAATGCTGCGTGCAACACACTCATGCACACAAAGCAGCAGTTAAAAGCTTAACTACAAATCGTGTGAAATTTATAAGGCGTTTTAATGCTCCACCCATACACGTAGTTTCCTCACTCATGTCCCCATTTTGTGACAAAAAAGTACCCAGTAGGAAGCAGAGAAAGAATAAGAACTCACTTCCGTTCGAGAGACCAGATGGAGAAGTACACCTTTCATAAACACTTTTTGCGATGGCCTTTCAGCTCCTTCAGCGAATTTTGTTTTATCTCTTCGAACGGCTGAAAACGAACTCCACGGAGCGACAATTTCAGTTATAAGAACAATAAATAGTCATACGTAATTTAATGAATACGGTGGTCTATCGATGGTATTCATTG